TGGAATGACATTTACTTTCCTTCAGTCTTCAGGCACCTCACCTGCTCCCCACATCTTACCAAAGATGTGTCTCACCAGTGCTGAGCAGAGAGAAAGGATCACTGCCCTTGACTCTGCTTTTCCCTTTTTGGAACTTCATGAGGTTCCTGTCATCCCATTTCTCCATCTTGTTGAGGTACCTCTGGATGGCAGCACAGCTACCTAATGTATCAACGACTCGCCTCAAATCTGTATCATGGTCAAACTTATTGAGAATTCCCTCTTTCCCAGCATCCAGGTTGTTAACGAAGGTGCTAAGCTGCATTGGCCCTAATATCAACCCCCTGGAACAACTAATGACTGGCCTCTGGCTGGGCTTCGTGCCACCAATCTCAACCCTTTGAGCCCAGCAGTTGAGCCAGTTTTCAGTCCACCTCACTGTCCATTTAACTACCCTGAACTTCACCAACTTGTCAATGAGGAGACAGTGTTAAAAGCCTTGGTTAAGCATAATTTCCCTTCTGTAAATCCATACTGACTACTGGCAGTCATTGCTCATCCATGCTAGCCTCCTGCCACATTTACTTGATTTCCCGCCCATTGGCATGGACCATTCATAAGCTTGGATGAGGCAACTCTTGAAAAGTAGACAGACTTCCTGGACCTCTCTTCAGGGCCACATCTCATGGTATTCTTAAAAGAAGATAAACAAGTCAATCGGTTCTGCAGGGTGGCAATATTTATTAATTTTTGTCTTGCTTCCTCCTCTGGGAATCCTGAATTCCACCACTGGCTGGTGGAATACTTCCCTTCCTGTCACATTCCTGACAAGTTCTTTTGTGTTTGAAACCACGAGATCATGTAGAGCATCTTTAACAGTTCCTCAAACGTCTGTTTTAGGAAGTTGACTTCAGCGTGCTCCAAAAACCTCCTGCATTGCCTCTGCCTTGCTGTGTTGTCCTTCCAGCAGGTGTGCCTGCCCATAGGAGCACGGTTGGAATTAGATGATTTTTAAGGTCCCTTGTAACACAAACCATTCTATGATTCTATGATAATGGTGGTTAAACTCTAGCAAGAAGGTCAGAGCCTGTAAACGTAATACTCCCAGTTGTCTGAAAAATGCCTCTTTTGCTTTTTCCTGATGATGTGGCGTATAGCAGACACATCACAATGTTGTCTACTTTGATTGGCCCACTAATCCTGACCCATAATCTATTAGCTGGCTCAAGACCCGTTGCTGGGCAGAGCACCGTTTGCTCCCACTGGTCTTACACACAGAATGCAACTCCCTCCCCTTGCCCTGCTACCAGGACACTGACCTATGCTTTAAGTGCAGATCTGTTAGTAGAGGAGGAGCCGTTTGCTACAAGCCACAGACTTCCAGCCTTCGGGAGAGTCTCCATTTCCCTATGATCAAACAGAGACTGCCTAGTCCTTTTCTAGCACACATCAGGCTCTTGTGCCTGCAGAGCGTCAGAGAAGATCCAGTCCAACTTTATCTCGTTGTATCTGATGGTGCAAAGTCTGCTGACCTATTCCTTTAGTTCCTTAAATTGGCAACAGAAAACCTCTACATCTCCTGCAGAAAAGAACAACTTCCTCAGCTCCTATAAGATGCCCCAGGCATCCCTACAGCCCCAGGGCTTCAGAGATGATCCACAAAGATGGTCAGGGTGTTGGAGAACCTACCCTATGAGAACAGACTGAGAGAGTTGGGGTTGTTGAGTCTGGGGAAGAAAAAGCTCTGGAAAGACCTCATAGCAGCCTCTCAGTAATTACAGGGAGACTACTGGAAAGAAGGGGATGAAATCTTTAACAGGGAGTGTAGTGATAGAATGAGGGGTAACAGCTTTAAACTGAAAGAGGGTAGATTTAGATTAGATATTACGAAGAAATTCTCCCTAAGTGGGTAGCAAGGCAGTGACACAGGTTGCCCAGAGAAGTTGTGGATGTCACCTCCCTGGAAGTCTTCAAGGTCAAGTTGAACGGGGCTTTGAGCAACCTGGTCTAGTGGGAAGTGTCCCTGTCCATGGCAGGGGAGGTTGGAACTAGAAGATCTTTAAGGTCTTTTCCAACCCAAAGCATTCTGGTTCTATGATTCTCTGCTAGGAATAGTTACCCCTGCAGGCACTGGGCTCTGTGCCCCATAGCATCCGTTTTGTTCTGCACACAAACACAGCCTTCAGCAAAGTCTCCAGCCCTCTTCTGTGCACTTTTCTTCATGCTGCTGAGCCTGCTAGCCCAACAGCACCTATCAAGGGCTCTTCCCAGTTCCTGCACCAAGAGTACCCAACCTTACCTAACCAATAATTTAACCAATAATTTAAATTCACAGCAGTCCAAATATCTAGCACATTTAAGGGAATTTTCAACTTGATCACCTTAGACAAAAGCATAAAAAATGCAACAATAACACAGAAAGGGAAAAGTCTGGGTGTTAAACTGGTTATAACAAAAGCAGATATCAAAAGTTCCTGATGTTTAGACAGTTTATCCCTCCATTTTCTTTAGGGGAAATTCTGGCTCAAGGGGCTGGCCACTCATTCCTGACAGGTCTAGCAGGTTTGCCTCCATTCTGCCAGTACACCAGTGTCCATGAGGCTGGGTTACACACCAAACTACTCAAGTGACCTGGGTTAAAAGGAACCCTGTGGGATGGGGCTATTTTTAGTGCAAATCATTTCACTGATTTGGTATATAATTATGTCAGCACAGCTGAGCTGCTCTGGGAGGCACAAACCCTGGCAAAGAAGGATGAGAAGGAGGTTAGTGAAGGGAACTTACCTTGAAATTACTACTTTCATTTATTCTTGTTTCATAAGAAAACTCTCAGTCCCATTTTACTTGTACAATGCCCAGTTCAATACCCACCCCAAACTGATGACAGAATTCTATCGAAAAAATGCAGAGAAATGAAGGAGACAGTGCAGCTGGAAACACTAAGGTATCCCGTTCTCATGCTATCCCTGAAGGTTCTTCCATGTTCACTCGCTCTGTAAAAGCTCAGCACCTTTCATGGTGCTTGTCACATCTACCTTAAAGAGTGCACGTGAATTATACTCACTGCTCACAAAGCATTTGGTGCTCAGTATATATATAAACCAACAAAGTCTATTCTCTACATTCTTTTTCATTTTGCACCAATTATTCTGACAAAGAGATATGGGAAACATTCCCATGGAAGAAGGCTAATCTCCAAGGACTACAAGAGTGTAACTAAAGAAAAACGAGCTGTGGTTGTATAATCATTCAAATTAAACAGCAGAGTTTAAAGCAGCTTATTCAACATCATAATTAAGGAATCTACTTGGAAGAAAAGAATATAAACTGAAAATGAGGCAGTAAACTGGCACTTAGTTATACCATTGAAATAAAAGCAAGAAAGATAGTGCCAGAAAAGTTGTGCTAACAAATGATGTAAGGAAACTCTAAAATTCTGCAGCCTTACAAATAATTAATTTCTGAATCCAAAATCTTATGTCTCCAAGTCAGGGCACCTTTTAGGCCCAGTCTGGCAAATATTACCAGCTCTTATTTTCACTCCAAAACACACACATATTCCTGCAAGAGATTGTTCTCTGATTAGGACTGAGTTTAGAGACTAAACTGGTTTTCAAAAGGATGCTTTGTACAAAGCACCTCACATAAATGGTATGTGCAGGCTGGTTTCCACGGCAGCCAGCTTTTCTCAGATATTGCATGAGAGGTATTACAGATGAGTTTCTCATCAATTTAGAAACTGAGGGCATAAGAGACGAGGAAAAGAGAGCAGAACTACCCTGTACCAAACCAAGGGAGAACACTTTCAGTTAATCTCCCTCTGACATGCAGACACACACAGGGCACCATCCATACCATGTGCCTCACTCACAGTCCTAGGACTGAGGAAGACAAGGATGCAACAGATGTTCAGGCCACACTGTACCTGTGCAAAGCCCCAGGACTGTGGTTCCTGCTGCTGTATGATAATACTTCTAATATTCTGCATTTCAGAGCTTTCCATACTGAAACACAGCGCTTTGCGT